AGGGAGAAGCAGACTCCCTGCCGAGCAGGGAGCCCGATGCGGGACTCGATCCCGGGACTCCAGGATCATGACCTGAGCCGAAGGCAGTCGCTTGACCAGCTGAGCCACCCAGGCGCCCTAGTGCTCATTTTCTATAGAAAGTTTAGAGTACACATAAGCAAAAAGAGATAAAATTCACCGTTCTGCATCTCAGAAATTACCGTTATTTTTCATGTGTCTGACTCAACTTCTTGTGTGCATTGGTATGTATATTTTTTCAGTATAAAATGGTATTTGGTAACCAGTATTCTTAAAACATTTGCTATTCCTCACAATCAGGTACACATTTAAAAAAAATAGTTACACCACTTAGAGGGTACAGGATAGTTGGTTTCTCTCGCAGGCTGGCAGGAGATGGTAATTTTGTGGCTCCTTCCTTATTTGAAGGTTACTGGTTTTTTTATTCTAGCAAAAATGTTCTTGTCACTACAGTTCTCTAAGGAAGAAAGGTATCTCCTGTAGTAGCAAGAATAAAACACTGTGTTGCATGCTAAATAGGAATTCTGTTTTAATCCAGCCAAATGACAGCAACAGACAGGCCCCCAGGCATTGGAGCTCATGGAGCTGAAAATTACAAGTGTGTCTGCCTGTCTCTGCCCTGACTGATACTGCCTTTCTTTGCAAGAAAACTAGAATGTGTAGTTTAGCACAAAGAAAGACAATAAAATTCACCCACAGAGTTTGTCCTTCTTGTCCTGACCCCTTCAGCTTTTACAAAACATTTTGGAAGAAAGACTGTACTGTTTTGATTGTGGGCTTTAGGAAATTTTCAGCATTAGGACATTATCCTTGCTTAGTTAATCTTAAAATTTGGTTTTATAAAATTGTTTTAATGATAAAATGTGACAAATTAAGGTATCGACTGTTCACATGCTGTGTTTTTTAATAAAAATAGGTCATTTGTGAAAGAAGCAGAAATAAGTCTGTGGAACTGAAGGAGCGGATTAGAGAGTACTTAAAGGGTAAGGTGGGGCCTGGTGCTTGGAGTGTGAGGACCACCAGTGGGAAGGCCCTGGACTGCCCGAGCCTGGCCTTACACCGCGGGATCAAGCTCACCTCTCAGGGTGACAGCCCTTCTCAGGGTGATCTGCTGCTGCCTGAACCCCCAGCCCACATGCCAGTTGTCATATAAATCCTCCTTTGAAGCCTTGAACTTTTCTGGGAGACGGCAAGTTGTCTGTCATTTGACTGTTGCTCATGGCATCACCCCATAATCTCTGGGTATCACATGTGGCAGGTCCCTCTGGTCCCTGCTCCCCGAGCACAGCCTGCACGTTGGCAGAGTGGAGGTGGGAGGAGCTCTTTGGTCTGGCGGTTGCTTGGCTTATCAGTAGCTCCCTGTCAGCCCTCCCATGTGCCCCTTCTGCACCACGGCCTGTCTCTCCTTTAACAATTCTCAGGCTCCTGCTTAGGCTAATCTTGTTCACACGGGTCCTGCCTCTCAGTCTTTTTAGCACATGGGGTGAAGAGGGGTGTTTGCTGCTCTCCTTCCTTCCTTCCTCCCTTCCTTCCTCCCTCTCTCCCTCCCTCCCTCCCTCCCTCCCTCCCTCCCTTCCTTCCTTCCTTCCTCCTTCCATTTTTCCAGTGGAGGGAGAATGTAGGGCTAGTTAAAGGAGTCTGGCAAAAACTGGCCTCTCACCCAGAACCTCTGGCTCCAGAGCTTCTGCAGCCTTGTCCTCACTGGATCGCTTGCAGAGCGTCTGGTGTTTCCCGGGCTGTTTACCAGATGCCTGACACAGCCACTGAGGTGAGCACCCGCCCAAGCAGATGCCTTACCCGGGTGTCTCCTTCTCCCAGGCCACTACTACGTGCCACTCTTGAGAGCCGAGGACACATCCTCTCCAGTGATTGGGGAGTTGTGGTCTTCAGACCAGACGACCGAGACCTCTCACGTCGGCCATGGTGGAGGCGGCCCCAGAGACCCTGTTCTGACCTTGCGAGCCTTTGCAGGGCCCCTGAGCCCATCCAAGGTGAGCTACTATAAAAGCTTCTGGAAGCAGCTCCTGGCTGTCCGCACCGGAAGTGCTGGGTATTCCAGCTCTTGCTTTGTGTTTGGTCTTGAGGCCACGCCTCGTGGAATCCCAGTGAGCTGGGACGAGGTTTGAGGAGTCTGCTGTCGTAACCTGTTCCTCACTGGCGAGCCAGGGTGCATGTGGTGGTGAGCCCACACTTCAGAGAAGTGAAGTTCACCTGGGCTAACCCGCCATCATCACCTGGTTCTTCTGTCCGTATCAGTGGCCCTTCTCGTGGCACATGCCAGTCTAGCTGGGCTGTCCAGTCCCATATTCCTGGATGGGTATCGTCACTAGGAACTTCACTGTGCAAACTGTGAAGTTCACCTTCTGGGCTGAGGTATTTCATACACGGTGTGTCATCTTTCTTGTTAAAGATTTTAAAGGGGTGCCTGGATGGTTTGGTTGGTGGAGTGTGTGACTCTTGATCTTGAGGTTGTGAGTTCGAGCCCCACGTTGCGTGTGGAAATCACTGAAAGATAAAATCTTAAAAAAAAAAAAACAAAAACCTCAAATATCTAACATGAGACCTACTGTCTTAACAAAATTTAAAAATAATAATTATTTTATTTTGGGCGCCTGGGTGGCTCAGTCGTTAAGTGTCTGCCTTTGGCTCAGGTCATGATCTCAGGGTCCTGGGATCGAGCCCCACATCGGGCTCCCTGCTCCGCGGGAAGCCTGCTTCTCCCTCTCCCACTCCCCCTGCTTGTGTTCCTGCTCTCGCTATCTCTCTCTCTGTCAAATAAATAAATGAAATCTTTAAAAAAAAATTTATTTTTTATTTATTTATTTTTTTAAAGATTTTATTTATTCATTTGAAATAGATACAGAGAGAGAGCGAGAGCATGAGCAGGGGAGAGGCAGAGGGCAAGGGAGAAGCAGACTCCCCGCCGAGTCAGGAGCCAGACGTGGGGCTCGATCCCGGGACCCTGGGATCATGACCTGAGCCGAAGGCAGACGCTTAACCATCTGAGCCACCCAGGCGCCCCCCCAAAATTTTATTTTTTAAAGATTTTTTATTTGAGAGAGCAGGGGGAGGGGTAGAGGGAGAGGGAGAATCTCAAGCAGACTCCCCACTGAACGAGGGGCCTCACACAGGCCTCGATCCCACAACCCCGAGACCGTAACCTGAGCCAAAACCAAGAGTCAGATGCTTAACCAACTGCGCCACCCAGGAACCCCAATGGTAATAATTTTAAATAAATAGTTATTTGCAGTTACAGAAGTGTCTCCAAAAACAGGTGTTACCAGTTAGAGTTAGATTCGGTTGCATAAAACAGAACTCCAATATGAGTGACTTTTCCTCTTGTGTGATGGGAAAGTGACTCGAGGCCCTCAGTGTGGCAGCTCTGAGCCTCACAGCCCAGCCTGGGCCACTGGAAGGGAGCAGGGCTGCTCCCGTATGGAGGCTTGCCAGAGCCCCTTTGTGCCGCCCTCATAATGTGGCCCTGAGATCTGTCCAGCTACCACCCAGGAGGGCATGATGCCCGGGTGTGTGAGGAGGAGGAGGGATGCTGGGAGGCACTCAGCTGCTCTGTGATGCTGGTGTCCCTGTGACTTGGGTGCACAGCGCAGCTCAGTACGTTTTCTCCTCAGGCAGAAGATTTTCGCAGGCTCTGGAAAACGCCGCCTCGAGAGAAAGCAGGCTTCTTTCACAATGTCAGGAAGACGGATCCAGAAAGAGGCATCGAGAGGGTGGGAAGGTACTGGCTGGCTCAGTATGAAGGGACAGGAGCTGAGTGGCAATGTCGTTTTGTACACTGCATGCCTCTATGTTGGTTGAGGACAGAAACCAGTTACAGCTGCAAAATAATCGTTCCTGGGAGGTGTTTATGGGGTTGGGGTAGGGCGATGGGAAGCCTCTTCACTGAGGTCTGATTCCTGCAAACAGTGCACACACTGTGTAGCAAAGATGTCCGCCATCGCGGTCCCTCTCCAGGCAGAGACTAGCAAGACGTGTCCAGGGTGTGGCAGCGTTCTGTTTGATGGGCCATACGGTGGGTGTCTCCTTGGCGGTAAAGCAGGAAATAAAACAAAAGAGGTGGGTGTGGCTAGAAGCTACTAGTAAAAAGTCCCTGAAAGGTGTTTTTCCCATAGTGAAGAATCTAAATTACATTGTGATCAAATAAAGCTACTTTGAATTGTTTTAGAACTTTTTCTCAAAATGTGGTTTGAGAAATACAGTTTCAGGTTTACAGCGTGAACTTGATAAGGACTTCAGAGTTTTATGGCCTGAGCAAAACCAGAATCCTCTCCAACCTTACACAGTTGTTTTAAGGAAACAAGAAGGCTGGTCTTTAGCTTGTGGTGCCAGTGGGGTGGTCGAGGCCCCCTTCTTCTGCCACGACTTTAGTGCGTTCCGTGTGGTGGTCCATGACAGAAACCCTGCTTAGTCTTGCCCTGCTTGAGAGAACACAAAGTACTATTTTAGCCCTAAATTTAAAAATAAAAATTGTAACTAAGATTACAGGTATTGTTTGGCACTTCCAGCATAAAGTGGCTGTTTTCTGTGTAGTCAGTTCTGTGAGTTTGGTTTTTTACACCTCGTTTCCAACTGATGGATTGTACTTACTCTTGCAGGGAGCTGGCTCATGAGCTGGGGTATCCCTGGGTCGAATACTGGGACTTTCTGGGCTGTTTTGTTGATCTGTCTTCCCAGGAAGGTCTGCAAAAACTAGAAGAATATCTCACTCACCAGGAAGCAGGCAAAAAGGCCCAACAGGACTCAGGAGAAAATGAGGCCTATCATCAGGAGAGCCCCTCTGCCCTTGGTAAGGACACGCAGACGTCTGTAGGTTCTTGGGACTTGGACCCTGTCCTGTGTCTGCGGACCAAGAGGTGGGTCCATGTGAAGAGCAAGCACCTGCTGCTTCTGTCGGCTGCTCATGTTCTCAGCCCACTGGTGTCCTCGCAAGTTAGATGGGAGGTACCAGCCACTGTCACGTCCCACGCGTGCCTACCCTTGACCTTGGCTTCCTCCTCATTTTCCTGCCTTTGAAGCTGGGGCACTGGAGGCTGTTGTTTCTGGGTGCGGGGTCCTGCTTGGTTTTTCCCAAGGGCAGCGCAGGCATCTTTCTGGGAGTCTTAGGAGGTGGATCTGAAGGAGAGGGCGGTTACTGGTCCTGGGGATTTGCAGCTGTACCGCGTGATCCCTTGCGGACTGTGTCACCCAGTCCTCTGAAGAGCTGCTCTCTCTCTCCCTTGTAGGCCGTGCTCGGAAGTGCAGCAATTCCATCTCTGTGAGGGCATTTCTGGATGAAGACGATGACTTGAGCTTGGAGGAGATTAAAAATCGACAGAACACGGCTCGAAACAACACCCAGCCCACAGTTAGCGCTTTTGGGGACTCGAAGTGTGACATCCTTCCCTTGGAGCAGGAGACCAACCTTATAGAAGCCTCCACCCTGACCAGTCCCCACAGCAGCAAGAATGGGTTCTGTAGCCCCCTGAGCGGCAGCAGGACCCTGGGCAGGAAGAGGCCAGAGGCCCCCGGCACAGGGGAAGCTCTCATCTCACCGGTCTCAGGCTTAATGGTCAAGTTCGATAAACTGAATTTGCAAGGTCTAGAAAGTAATTTTTCTAAGACACCAAGTAAAAATATGAAAACCAGAGACAAGAGCTTGACGTCAAGAGTGGATGCAGTCGAGAGTGACTTGTTAGAGCCGCCTGCTGCTGACACGCTTAGAAACAACCAAACCAGGACAGAAAGCGAAATGTCAGCCAAAATGGCTAAGATACGTCTGGGTCCCGACACTCCTGTGCATGAGGCTCAGCAGAACTGTGGTTCCGTGTCCTCAGAGCCCTCAGGGATCTCCGCTACGAAGGAGCCTGTCCAGAGGCTCTTCCTTTTTGGGTATGGTGGGCTGTGTGCACATGCGGGAGGCCGTGGGAGTGGGCGTGAGCTCACGTAGCACCGTCCCAGGTTCTTTGAACCCATTCTCTAGCCTCAGCCTGGTTGGATGAGCTTTTCTGGCTCCCATCTCTTTCATGAGATTGTAGTTCTTGGTGCTCTGTTGCGATCTTCCAAGTTGGTGGGAGACGTGTTCTCCTTTCCAGCTTAGCCTCACGTCTTGCTCTCTCCCTGGGGAAGTATCCTCCGCAGAACAGCTGGAACTGTACCAAGAACGCAGTGTGTTTTAGAAAGAAAGACCATCCTGGGGTAATCTTAGCCTCCCTGGGGACGGGCTTTCTGGGTCAGCCTTCTGGTCAGTGACCCTGGAGGTGGAGACACTCAGTACTGGGTCCACCACTCCCCCTGTGGGACAGTGTGTCCTGTCTGCCACTGTGGCCTCTGTCCCTCCATAGCCCGCACCGTGGCCCCGACAGCTGGTGACAGAGACGGACGCTTGCCCTTCTGCTCCTGTGCTGGGCCCTTGAGTAGTGGTGTTGGAAGTCTTTTTAGTCACGAGCGTTCCTGCTTTTTCTTTCCTTTTTTCTGCCTTACAGAGAGGAGCCGTCAAAACTGGATCGAGATGTTTTGGCAGCTCTGGAGTGTGCAGACGTGGACCCTCAGCAGTACCCAGCCGTCCACAGATGGAAGAGTGCCATCCTGTGCTACTCCCCCTCTGACAGACAGAGGTCAGTGGGCCTGCGGGGTAACCTGTCTCACTCCGGGCTTGTGGGTAGCTGGCTTCCGGATGGTCCGGTTGTGATTCACACGTTTTCATGAAGTGGTTCATCTGGAACACTGGTTAGCCAGGCTGACACGCAGCTCCTGCCGTGGCCGCGGCCGGCGGCACCCTGCACAGGCAGGGGGTGTGCAGTTGGGTGGAAAGCAGAGGGGTGCTGCTGACAAGGTGGGGGTGCAGGATGGAAGCAGCCGGGAACCCTGGGCAGGGCCACACGGGACTCGTGTGCAAAATCGTAGCTTCTCCGAACCTTCAGGGCTCGTGGTTCTGAGGTCCGCAGCCCCTCTTCTGGAGCCAGGTAGTCCCCCAGGGCTTGGGTGCAGGGCCTGAATCACTGTCAGTGCTGATAGACCTTTCTTGGTTTCCTCAGTTGGCCAAGTCCTGCGCTGAAAGGGAAGCTGGAGTCTCAGCAGCTGGATCTTGGTTGTCCCCACAGCTGCAGCCCGGGGAGAAGCCCCGGGAAGCCCGGGCCCGCACCCCACTCCCCGGGCCTGGGCAGCCCTGGGCGCTATAGCCCCGCAAATGGGAGCCACCTCCGCAGAATGGCGCGCCTGGCCCAGCTCACAGCCTTGTAGAGCTGGGGCAAGCTGCTGGGTGTCTCATTGTCTTCTTTGTTTTTAAAGGAAGAAGGGTCATGTGTTTATTGCTAGAATTTACCAAAAAGAATAGATTCTGATTAATTTATTAGTCCTCATTTTGAGAGTAAAAGATTTTTAGAAAATGCAGATGTTTTGTATAAAATTTAGTTTTCTGGTGTTTTGGGAGAAGTTGATGGAAGCAAATCCAGTTACAAACTTTCTGAAAATTGTCAGTGTGTAACGATGTGGACTTAAGTTCGCCATTCCCAAGCGTCAGACACCATTCCCATTGTGTGTGCACCAGAAACCCAGGTGAATGCTGGAGCTGGGCTGCCCGTAGCTGCACTCGCTTCAACTCCGTTCTTAACAACAAAGATGAATTTAGTGCCATCTTCCTTTTCTGGGAAGGGTCTCTGACTTTAGTTCCTGATGGAAAATCTTTGTTTTGTCAGTCGGTCCCAGTGGGTTTGACCAGTTGATAAGGTGGATGTCAGAGTAAACAAACCTGGAAATGACTTACGCTTGCAAGTTTGGGTCATTACAAACATTTAAACTAGTGTCCAGAAGATAAAACTAGCTTTTGTCTGGGGAATAAATCCTCTGGTCCATGGGAGTCCTGGGAATGGTCCCAGCCTTTGACAGACCAGCAGCCCTAAGGAACCTGCACTTCTTGTTCCTTCGTTTAGTTGCCGGGGTAGTGCCAATAAAATGATCTTTAAGTTCTCCGGTTTTGAGATTTACTGCATATTTCTAAATTCACTTCCTTTGGATTTCCTTTATAAAAGAATGTTGTGTTTTAGTACAGAAACTAGAGATTTATCTTTTGAGTCCTGGTCAGTTACCTTACTGCATTTATTTTAGCTTCCTCTTGGCCATGACCTTCTGGGCGGGCTCTGCCTGGAGCATGGGGGTCACCTTAGAACCACTGCCACGATTGATACCCAAAACTACACACCTGAGTTGAGGGCTGACTTCTCTCCGGTGCTCCGTGAACATTTCCAGTGTTTGATCCAAAATGAAAAGCTCTACCAGTTTTTGCTAAATTCAGTGCCTTTTGTAAATCATTTTTTATTTTCCTGAAACTTGCTTTTTGCGAATATACAGTGATACTAAGTAGGCGTGAGATTTTTGTTGTTGTTTATAAAAATTCTGAATTGGAACTTGTGTTAAAAAAAAAACAACATTTCTTTCATGTGCTAAGAAGAGACAGGTCAGGAATATTGGAATCAAGATTTAGATTTTAAAATTTAAAAGGTGGTTACCCAGGGTGTTTTTACTTGTGTAACGATCTAGATGTAACACAGAAAAATACAATCTATTCTAAAAGTGGCATTTATAAAAGGCATCTTTGTTCTCAAAAGAAATTAGAGTACAGATAGTACGTTCACTGTTTTCTGTAAAATCCTGTTCCGTATGTTGTTGTAAATATTCAGATGGAAATTAAAAGTGTTTCTGTCCAAATTTTGCAGACTGTGGTTCTTGTATTCTGAAGGTTAGGTTATCTTTGCCTGTTTCTCCATTTGTTTATATAAGGTGGCCCTGGCCCCAGTGAATGCATTATCATGTGTCTTAAGGTGATTTTGCATTCTTTTTTAAGCTACTTCATGAAATAAATTATTATTAAAACCATGTGGTGGTAATTCTAAGCTTTCAGAAAGACTGCTCTTGTGGGCGCCTAGGCAAAATGCCGTTTTTAGTAAAATCTTTAGTGTTGTAATGAAACAGTATGTTAATCTGATCGTGGTGAATTTGCTGTTTTTTTAGCCCTTTTCATTCCTAACATGGTTGTGAAAAACTTGAACTTTCAGTTAAGCTGGCACCAAATTTCGTAATTGCCCTTGGAAATGAGAAACCTTTCTTGTGATGTTAAACAACGGCGTGTGACTTCTTCAGTTCAAGAGAGGTGATGGGGACCCCTCTGCCACAGTGGGGGGGGGTGCTGTGGCTCCAGCCACAGGGCACACGGGAAAGCCCTCCAGTCCTTGCCTGGGGACAGCCACGGTGTTGTAGGATGAGTGCCCACCCCGTGGGGCAAGTGTTCGTTTGCAGCTGTCTTGGCGGTCTCCCCAGTGGGAGCTGAACCTGGTCCCTGTATGCAGAGGGCAGGGAGAGGCCGAAGAAAGGGCCAGGCCACCCCAGCTTGGGAGGTGGCAGGTTTAATAAGCAGAAGAACTTAACATACGAGGCTCGTCTTGGGTGGCAAGATGAATGGATCCCTGCATCCACACTCCCAATCTGAAGAGTTTATATAGAAGCCCTACCTGGCTCAGCCCCACCTCACCATCTCAAGGCCATGTCCTTGGAGCAGCCTCTGGGGGGCCAGACAGGTGAGCAGAATCCACGTCCAAGGATGGGAGGCTGTGACGAGCTCACGGGTCAACTGGCAGTCACATCTTTCTGGACCTTCCTCCTGAACAGCAGGACCACAGACAAATCGTCTTGAATAATTCTGGGACGTTTGCAGCAACATTCACAGCTTGGCAGTCTGTGGGATTACGGCCTTGACAGGCCGTGGCTTCAGATGTCATCGCTCACTGCCGTCGCCCTGAGTTGGGTCTGCTTGCTGGGCTGTCCAAGGCACGCACTTTTCCTCGCCTGACGTTTTGCATTTGTGCACAAAACCTGTAAGGATTTTCTGGTTTACAAATTGCACTCATGTTCCTTCCTGACTATCTCAGAAGAAAATATTTTGGAATAAACAGCACAACATAATAGGAACCAACTGCTCTGTTCCCAGTGATGTCAGTTCAGGTTCCTGATTTGCAGGCTTCATTTTGGCCAAACTTAGGATACTGTTGCTGACACCTCAGAAGTCTTCAGTCATCTGTCCCACCTCAGGTAAGTTTCCGTCTTGACATCAGTGGGCCTGTGACCCCATGTCGACACCCACCTCTTGCTCCTCGGCTGCATCCCCACGTGGGCTCGTTTTCGGTTTCCAAAATGCTGCCCTGCTTCTCAAAGGTCAAGTGAAATGCCGCCATAAAGGCAGATCTGAAGGGGCGCCTGGGTGGCTCAGTCGGTGAAGCGTCTGCCTTCGGCTCGGGTCATCACCTCAGGGTCCTGGGATCGAGCCCCGCATCGGGCTCCCTGCTCGCGGCGAGTCTGCTGCTGCTTCTGCCCCTCCCCCCACTCGCGTTCTCTTTCTCAAAAAAAAATCTGAAGAAAAAGGCGGATCTGGAGACGGTGCAGAGGCAGCTGCACGACCCCTTGGGGGGGACCTGCCACCTCCACCTTCAGGTGTGTGGGTCCCAGGGCCCAGGGCTCAGGCTCAGGGTGGGACGCCTGTGTGGCCCTTGCCTTCTTGGGCCGCCTTCCCACCTGAGGCCAGAGGTGTGCTGCCTGTTGCTGTGCTTTGAGAAGTTGGCACAGCCCCTGGCTCACTCGTCAGAACTCTCTCGAGAGTGGTGCGTGGCTGGTGCTGGTGGAAAGCCGTTTGTGTAGCTCACCGTCCTGGGTCCGGGCCTTGGCCCCTGGTGGGTGGACGCCCGGCCAAGCCGTCAGCCCTGGGAACACAAAATACCGCGGGAAAGAGCTTTCTGCCGCTGCAACCGTTCCAGCGGGTCTGGGGCTGCTGTCTGTTGCGCAGCACGGATCGTCTTCTCGAAAACATTCGCAATCAGTACTTTGAGGAATCAGTAAAATAAAATCTTTATTTTGCAGTTATTTCCAAAGTGACAGAGAAATGGATCAAATGCCCCAATTAGTTGCACTGATTGCAGAAAATGTTCATAACCACTTCATAAAAACCGTAGCTTCTCCTAAGTTAACAGAATATTTGGGATGGACATATCACATCTAAATAGTTTAATCCGTAAGCATAAAGGATTAACAACCAGAGGCAAAGACCGAAGAGGACGCCCGGCTGTCCGATCACCATCCAGCCACCTCCCTCACCTGCCAAGGTGCGGCTGAGTGTTGGGAAAGGCCCAACAGCGTCAGAGGTGCAGGACTCTGGACTGAGAAACTGGTTACCAAAGCAGGAACCCAGATGAGAATCTTTAGTGGACAAATACTTAAGTGATAAGAGAGTCTTAAGAAAGGGGAAAAATGTACGACAAGAAGTTCTGGATGGAAGCCCTGGCGGCCCCTCCTCAGAGCCTTGAGGGGCTCGTGTGGCCAACTGTGGTCACGACCAAAGATGCCCGTGTGGACTGACCGTGGTCCCCGCAGACGGCACGCGTGAGGCCTCGTCCTGGAAGACCAGGTAGAAAACCCCAAGAAAGAAATGAGGCCCATCTGCTCGGAACAATGCCCTTTTCCATCCCGGGGCCGGAAGTACGGACTGAAATGCCACATTTTAGATATTTTAGATATTCTTCGTCCTTTTTCACTGTCATCCTGGAGAAGTGCGGTGTAACCGCAGTGCAGCCTGTGGAGGGAAGACAGGGAAGGAGCCGTGTCCTTGGCAGCACCCACGGGAGCCACAGGGGGACTGAGGAGAGCGGGGCCTCCAGGCGGCCCTCAGGAGCGGGAGATCTTGTCCGGAGGCATGAACCCCGTGTCCCCGAGGGTCCTGAGCGCCACTCGGCCATCTGGCCGGACCACCAGGTGGGTGATGCTGCCATTGTTGAGAGACAGGCGGAGCCAGCCTTCTGGAGGAAACTGCAGTGCCCTGGAAGGAGAAAGAACAATGTAGAACAGGGGGCTCTGTCACCAAAACGGGCTGGGGTCAGGGCAACGCTAACAGCCCCCAACCTCAGTTAAGGTCTCGGAGCAGACTTTCTTGGGGCTGGGTCTCCTGTTTTCAAGCAGGGGGGTTCTCAGAAAGGAGCTGCTGGGCTGATGCCATCCCATCAAATCAAATAAGGGGCATGGTGACGGCCCAGCCCCTCTTTGGGTCAGGGGATCGACCCAACTCAAGATGGGCACGTGAGTCAGAAATCCATGGCTTCTTACAAGTGCATGTGATTGAACTTCCAGTGTAACCAAAAGGGGGCAGGGGCAGTGCCACGGATCCGCTCCTGACCCATTCTCCCCTAGGAACAGGGTGGTGTAATCCACAACCCCAGGGCCTTTCCTTGCTCTCACACTTCCTAGGCGCAGTATTTGCTGAAAAGCCCAGTATCATCACGGCCTCCGCAAGTCATCAGACGTCCTTCATGCCCTAAATCTCTACATGGACGAG